AATTATGGTGTTCGACATCCATTTTCACTGAAATGGTATTATTAATGGCTCGCAATGCTCCCGATAGTCGTATCTATAGAAAATATGATTTAATATCCATTGAGTAAACAGGGCGTCGTTACGGAACGTTTACATAATACGTTTTTTATGTGTAAAGTTTCACTTTTTTTCCTTTTTGTTTCACGTACGGCGTTTTGCGTTGATATTAACCTCCCTTCAGGCTTAGATATCCCTATATATATATATATATATATATATATATATATATATATATATATATATATATAATATAATATATATATATACATATATATATACATATATATATATATATATGTATGTATGTATATATATGATAACAAAATGGATTATTTTTTCTTTAGGAATATCATTAATCCCTTTTATCACGATGACTAAGCCAAGTATTTAGATCATCCCGGGAGATTATCATGGCAAAATCCTGCCGACGGCGACCCTGAATGAGGAATCGAAGGGCACCAGCATTCCTCGCGGCGAAGAGTGGCGGGAAACCGTTTTAGGCTCTTTATTGACCCCCGTCGAGGTTCGTTCGATGACGTCACTCTTTGCCACTGATGCCTTCGCTTGCAAGTCGTGGTGTTTGGACTTCATTGTGTCTGTCAATTTTTTCATATTTGTTATTTATTTTATTTTATTTATTTATTATTTTTTGTAGTTTAAGAGCGTTGTTGGTCTGATGGGGTGTTGGTTATTTGTTTATCGGAGAGGTGGAGAGCGCGGTGAAATATTGAGCGCCTTTGGATGTATGTTGTCAAGGAAGGACGAAGCCTACGGTATCAAACATGTTGGCATTGGCCTTGGATGTGAATAGTTAAGCACTTTGGTGTGTGTGTGTGTGTGTGTGTGTACGTGCTTTTACACGAGTGTACGTGAGTGTACACACACAGACTCACACAACACAGCACGTAAGCACACACATACACAAACTCACACAACACAACGCACGTAGCACACACACGCCTCGTATCACAGACAAATAATTACACGTGCACACGCATGTATGGCGATATCCCACAACACCTATACCCTAACTCAATGATACGAATCAGGTATTCATAACCTAGTCACATAGATAACATGGCACACGTTCGGAACCTCTTCACACACACGCACACACACACACACACACACACACACACACACACACACACACACACACACACACACACACACACACACACAAACACGCACATCATGTTGGAGGGCTAGGGGTATCCTTGAAGAGTCATATTTGTCATTGATAATAACAATTTAAGTATTTTATAGCTGTAATTAAAACGCTTGCAAAATTACCCGTATTAATTGCTGTTTCATATGCATCAAGAGTTGCCTAAGTAATTAAGTCACGTAATCAGTAGTTTGTTGACGAAAAGAATTTCCAGCGAGAAATTCTAGTTAAAAGAGGTCATCCGTTATTTGGTATAATTTATTCATTCATTCATTTATACAGTATATTATTGTTGTTATTCTTATTCTTATTATTTTACATTTTACATTTTCTTAGTTCTTTAGAATTATTGTTCATGGAAGTACGCAATAAGTGATTGCAAGTTAATTTTACTTGCATGATTAAAAAGGTCTAGTTCAGAGTTCTTCTAATGTGAACCATTAATAATAACCATTAGTATTTCGAATTATCCAGATGTATATCTTTTCTCTTCATTTTATATTCTTCCATCTTGTATTTAATTTCGTTTTCGTTTATCATACATTAGTTTCTTTTTGTGACTTTTTTCAAAACAAGGAAATATATGGTTACAAATAAAACAACCATTGTTAATATAGGCAATGCATCTTTGCGACAACGGCTGCTGTTAACGTAGGCAGTACATCTTCACGAACACACGCGGCTGTATTTTCTAAAGGTGATGACTCGTACGGCAGGAAAACCTCGTTAAACCTCTTTATAGATCACGCCACGCCATCTGGCAGGCCTAAAGTAAACAGCCTTCATCGATTTTCTCTTTGCTTTTATTTCAGTTTGTTTCTTGAAAGTTTTAGATAATTACCAATGCGCCAACAGAGGGCTTTTTATACGCTGTCTGTGATCGGTTACCGAAAGGATCAAGTTGGTCGAAATTTGGCTACATTCAAACCATATGGTCTTCGCTGGTTTGAAAGATTTGATCATACACATGTCTATCAGCTGAGAGTATTATTGTCATCGTCATTATCATCACCATCATCATCATAATGTGTGATTGCTGTCGTTATTGTTTTTAAAGCCCCTTTTCTACTAATCACAAATGATCGACTTTGCTTAGCTTTGTAAACGCAGAATACCAATAACTGTGGTAAATACTGTACGTGTCAGTACGAATGAATTACTGTACATAGACAACAAATAAAAGTTCGCGGACTGATATAGGCCGTGAGTGAAGAAATGTGGGAGAGATATTCGCGTGGCCAAGGACTAACCCAGAGTATATCGATTCTGCTAACATAGAAGAAATGGCCGTATTTGCATGTCACCCTTCCCACATTATCATAGCCACGTAACCCAATTCGCTATTTTTTAGAATTTTAGTTGTTAATGCTGAACTTCGTGGTGTGTTGACATTGTCTCAGTTCATCTCTCCCCTACTCTCTCTTTCTCTCTCTCTCTCTCTCTCTCTCTCTCTCTCTCTCTCTCTCTCTCTCTCTTCTCTCTCTCTCTCTCTCTCTCTCTCTCTCTCTCTCTCTCTCTCTCTCTCTCTCTATGTTTGTGTATGTGCATGTTCATACATCTGTGAATGTATGCGCATATCTGACTATGTTTATGTGTGAGGGCTGTACTTTACATTTTATGGTCACCACAAAAAGGATAAAAACACAGAATAAAGAAGAACAGATTATTAAAGACCTGCTGCTCGGAATGACGACGAAAACCGTTTTGTTTCGTACCCGAAAGACAATTTAGCGAAACCGCGGTCCCCAAATTGGCCTTTTTGACACAAATGGGAAACTAACAGCTGCGGTAACATTAGAGATCGTAGAATTTTCCTTTGATTTTTTTCCCTCTTATATCCCGGTTATTTTTAGGCTCCTGTATCGAGCAGCTGCGAAAATTACATTTGGAAGTTTTTTTTTTCATGTACCCTTATGCTTGTGAATATATTACTCTAAGATGATCAGAAGATTCCGTACCCATTTTCTTAATTATTTCCGGGTCTTGAAAGTGGAAGGTACATAGATAGTTAGTTAGATTAGAAGATAATGGCTATAGTGGTTATTATAGTGATAATGATAGTGATAGTTTTAATGATATTGATGAGGAACATAGCAGTAATGATCATGATAATGATAATAATTGTGATAATAATGATGATGTTGACAAATATTATCATCGCTATTATTATTACTACTTTTATCATTATTAATGATAATAGCAATAATTGTAATAATAGTTATCAATAATGCTAATGATAATGATGATGATAATGTTAACAATATTGAAGAAATGATAATGATAACAGTAATAATAATGACGATTATGGTAATCGCAGTGAAAATAAAATTGGTGGCTTCGTCGGCAACATTCCAATTCAACTGACACGCAAACGTTCTTTGATTCTCAGTGTCTGCAAACGTTTGATATTGGTCAATTTAAAAGAAGAGATGAGCTGAGAAAAGATTTTATTAGAGATATTAATTCCTTTCAATTACATTTAGCAGTGAGATTAGCATCGTTTTGCAATGTGTGAATCCTGTTTGGTTACTGGCTCGCCCTTTCTCTGGTTTAATTAATCGAATCATAATGTATGGAGAGGTAAAACATATGCATGATAGAATTTGTCCTGTGTTAATAGGGTTTTGCCTGGATTTATGTGGTTATTTTATGTGTTGGTTTAGTACTAAAGGTATCACCTTTGATACTGTAAAAATGTAAAGAAAAAACAATTTGTTACTTTTGTAATTATTGTACAATATATTTGATGATTTTTTACCTATTCATAGTGTGTCAGATCACTGTTTTGGCATCTATAAAAGCTGTGGAAGAAATGATATGATATTATTTTCTAAATCCCTTACATGATCAAAAGGAAAAACTGTCAAAAGGCAAAAACAAAAATATATAACCACTGCAGGATTTCCTTGTTAGCAGATAATTATACCGCGTTTTGACAGCGAATTTAACCAGTGTGCGTATGTAGCTCTGCAAATGTGTGTGTGGATGGCTGGAATTAATGGATAGGTAGATGTGTAGTTGTGTATATTTATTTTATTATCATCATATTCTACGTGTGTGCGTGCGTTTATGGTATAGAGAAATATATGAATAATATTGGTATGTTTGTCTGTATCCATGTTTATTGACTCTGCAACAGTCTTATGACCCATTAGAAACGTAGCGTGATTATTCCGCCCATAAAAATGTGCTAGAAATTTCCCAAATATTTTTTTCATGGCGACTCCGTAAAGCCTGGGCGTAAAAATTGTACCCGGCTGTTTAGGGTGTCACTGAATATCATCATTGGTTCCAGCATTATTTTCAGACGTATCAAACTTGTTTCTAAAGGATCGCAATAAGGATTCGTAGTTTAGTGACTTTTCGTGCGTGTGTATATCCGCTTGTCTGTCTGTGTCTCTATCTGTTCATGTGTGTTATTCAGTGATTGAAATTCAGATTTAGAGAACAGTACTGTGCATTCTTCAATATATGGGTCGCGATCTGCTGATCACTAGTTACCTTTTCAAAAAGGATGTTACATAGATAGATAATGAATTATATAAGATGGAATATTTATAAACAATTGGTAAAATAACGCATAGTGTACAGAAGATGTTCTGTAGCATAGAGCACGAGGGTAACCAAACTGGGTCACAATGAAGAATGTTTTAAGAACACTGCTCCATATATCATATGTCCTCTTGATGAAAGAGAGAGAAAAAAGAAAGAAAGAAAGAAAGGGAAAAAAGACATTAACCTTATCATAAACCTTTGCATCATGTTTCTGACCGTCGCCCTCGCCCGCAGGTACATCATGGCCAACCGTCCCAGGACAGCCTCCACCAGGAACGAGGAGGAGATGATGGCGTCCGCCCGCAGGAAGCTGACGCAGACCACAGACCCCGTGGAGAAGCTGCGGCTCCTGTGCCTGAGTCGAGGAACCGCGGGAGTCATGGGGTTGGGCAGGTGAGTGGGGCGAGATGGGGAGTGGCTTTTGGTTTTATGTATCTGTTTACGTTCTTGTTTATTTTGTTGTTTTTAGAGGGACAATTGTTGCTAGTATTGGATATATTGTGGTGTAATGGTCACTCGTGTTTCGATTCTTGTATGGATGTAGTGGAAATTCATATTTTGCCCTCTCACCTCTCTTTCGTTATGGGCTCATACATTTGTCCTGCGCTCCCACAAGTATTCCGAACCAAACGTCTTTGTTGCAGAGTTTTTCGACGAATGGACGACGACGGATCCCACAGCCTCAACCTCGAGGAATTCTCCAAGGGCATAAGGGAAACCGGCCTCAAGCTTTCCGAAGAGGACACCGAGAAACTCTTCAACGCTTTCGACAAGGACGGGGAAGGAACCGTCAACTATGATGAGTTCCTTGTAAACATCCGGGTAAGCTAAGTGTCGATGTGTCGATATTTTCTTCTTATTCATGATTATTATTTGTTTTTTTCTAGGATTAAAGAGTGGTTTTAACACAGTGGGTAATTCCCATCTGGTGAATTACCCCGTGGTGTTTTTTTGCCAATTCTCGTGACAGTAAGATATAGAGATTTTTGCTGAGAATAATACCCTGAGATTGACTCATTCACTCGGAACAACTGAACCACAATAGCTTCCACTACTCTCTTATCCAATTAACCACAAACATCCCCTTAGAAAAAATAAAACCCCATTCCTGTTTTTTCCTCAGCCCAAGATGAACGACACGCGGCGGAAGCTAGTCGACATGGCATTCGATAAGCTGGATAAGACAGGCGACGGCATCGTCACCTTGGAGGACCTCAAGGGAGTGTACTCGGTGACCAAGCACCCGAAGTTCCAGTCGGGAGAGATGGACGAGGAGCAGATTCTCGCTACGATTCTCAAGAAGTTCGAGAATAATACGTCCGTCGATGGAAAGGTTCGGTTGTCAGATGTGTGGTGTTCAAAGTGTGGTGGAAGATATTATGTGAATCATATATAAATATATATATTTTAGTTCCTTTGGGAGCATATTCCTTTTTATTTTTTCTGTGTAGGCTACCCCACCTCTCTCTCTCTCCTCTCTCTCTCTCTCTCTCTCTCTCTCTCTCTCTCTCTCTCTCTCTCTCTCTCTCTCTCTCTCTCTCTCTCTCTCTCTCTCTCTCTCTCTCTCTCTCTCTCTCCTCTTCTCTCCCTCTCCCTCTCTCCTCTCCCTCTCCCTCTCCCTCTCCCTCTCCCTCTCCCTCTCAACTCTCTCTTACCCTATTCCCCTTCGAGAGAGGGAGAGGGCCTCCCTCTCTCCCTCCTCTCTCTCCGTCTCCCTCTCTCCCTCTCCTCTCCCCCCCCCCTTCACTCTCTCTCCCTCTCACCCTATATCTATCCATCTCTATCTCCCTCACTCCTTTCTCCCTCTTTCTCTTTCTCTCCCTCCCTATCCTATCCCTCTCCCTCTCCCTCCTCCCTCCCTCTCAAACCTCTCCCTTACCCTATTCCCCTTACTCTCTTTCCATTCGTCTCTCCATGTCTCTCACCCTCTCTCCATATCCCTTTTCCCTTTCTTCTCCAGGACCTGCTCCTCCCTCGTTCTTCCCCCATATAATAAAAAAAAAACATTTTCGCCATAGAGCTCATCATCAACAAAGGAATCAACCAAACTAACCTTTTCCCCATCTCTCTCTTTCTCCTCCGCAGCTCACTAGGGAAGAATTCTATGACTACTACTCCGGCGTGAGTGCGTCCGTAGATCAAGACGCCTACTTCGATCTCATGATGCGCAATGCCTGGGGAATCAAATAAATCAGTAGCGCTAGGAGTAATGCAATTGCACCTGCCGATTGAATGCTGTTTGGAGTTTTGTTTACCTAATGTTTTTGTTTAACGTTCTGATCCTAGTCTATTGATGATTTTCTGTCTAGTCTAATCAAGATTTCGTCTTTGATTCGGTTTTGTTTGGAGTAGTGTGTAATGTAGGAGATTGTCACAATTTTTTGTGTTCTTTAATTAGGAAAGTTTATATTGGTTTCCTTTTTGATTATTTGTTTATACATTATCAATGAATATGTGAATTTGCATATGTTTAGGTGTACTTATTCTAAAATAACTACAGATCTGAATATAGATTATAGGAAGTGATTATGCTATTTCCCTTTCTTCGTAACTTTTGCCAGATTCATAAATAAATAATGTCCTGAAAATGCCGTTGTTATGAATATGTATAAATATGAAAATATTTGATTACTTTTAATGAGAATTATTAATGCTGTATTATATGTCACCCATTTGTTTACTTAAGAAAAAAGTAAGGATTATTCAACTTTTTAGAAAACGCATCAATTTTCTTTTACCTACAATATTACGAATGTCTTTATTTGATAGCATTTAATAATACATATTCAATAATAATGAAACAACACTTTTTCTTTTCTGGTGGATATTTTGCTATGGTATGCAGATGTAATCTAACCAGGTGCTACTCCATCCTGCCATAGTTAATGATTTCAATATTCACGCTTTTTGTGTTGGTGACTTATCCAATTAATTAACTCTATTATGGAATGAATTTGAGGCAATTGTGACTAACACCTTCATAGGGTAAACAACTTTAATGACTTTGTACAACTTATGCATGGAGAGTTAAGGACTTCTATATATCCGTAATTTTGTATGTATATATGTATGTCTGTGTACGTGCAGATGTATAGCCATATATATTGCCTATGCAGACATCCATATGCATATATTTCCAGTAAGAAGCATTTAACTATTTTATCAGTAAGTTCTTGAATAATAACAAGGAAATGTCAGTATAGAATTATTCATTATTGCATTTAGATATTTCATCAGTATTTTCTTAAATGACAAAAGCAATTGACATATGATTAGGCTTCAAATATTTGTATGTTCTTGATGTGTTTATTTTAAGCATAAAAGTATTTGCTGATTGCCTTATCTAGGAACAAATTGTTTTGTCCTTTATATTGCTATAGAACTTCGATGTAATCATCAGTGAAGGAGGTGGCTTCCATTTGCCTTTTAAATCATACGCATGCTTCCTATGTAGATTGTAATGGTTCGAGATGCAGCCAAAGATCCCTTTTTCATCAGAGTTTTGAGTACAGCAGTCGTCTCCAGTTGATCCATTACTATCTAGTGTATGTAATGATCATTCATAAGCTCATGTGTTTGTTTGCATATTATCATCTGACATTGTACAGCTTTGATCAGGTTGCCATATGAAATTAATTATACATTGTCTTAACATGCAGTTATTCATTCCTCATGTGAAAGCTTTTACATCATACAAATACAATTCCACTGGAAATGTATAGTCTACTAAAGATTTCTTGCACAAATTGCCTATTAAAGACAATTGAAGGTACGTAAGGTCTTTTTATTTTATATTTTACCCTTCCCTTTCAAATTTAGAACTGAAATAAATGAAAACAACACCCATCAACGTTTGGCGAGTGGGTGACACCACAATGTTGAGATCTTGAATTGGCTCGAGCAAGCAGGCGTGTTTGAAGCAACTGCAATCCAATCCAGTCACACATACACACATGCGCGCGCATATACAGTTGCGAGACATTTCCGAGTGGTACACCACGAGTCTGGAGGTGACAATTTTTTATCTGGGTATATATGTGTAGTCTGTAGTATTCCGTGAGGGAGAGAAGTCTGTAAAGCGACAGTATTTCATAGATTTGACAACTGCGCCTCAGCAATGGTTAACACGTACAACAGTGGTTCCCAACCCCATGGTCGCGACCCAAATGAGGGTCACCAGGGTTTTTTTCTGAGGGTCACCAGTCTTTAAAAAAAAGATTCCATAGCTGGACATGTCAGTAAAAGTTAATGTTTTTTATTAACTTATTGAAATTCAGTGTGTTTGTGTATGAATGTATATATATATATATATATATATATATATATATATATATATATATATATATATATATATATATATATATATATATATATATATATATATATATATATATATATATATATATATATATATATATATGTGTAATATATATGAATATATGTATAAATATATATGTATATATATATATATATATATATATATATATATATATATATATATATATATATATGTATGCTGTATATGTGTGTATGTATACGTGTTTAAATAAATGTGTATATATATATATATATGAATATATTTTGTTTATATTCATATCTATATAAATTTACATATACATGAAACATGTAATTCGTTATAAGATGCAATTCATTGATGATTTTACTGTTTATTTCGAGACTTCTGCCTTTCAGGTCGGCACTGCAAAGTTTCCACCAATTAATTCTAACAAAAATATTCTAACAGTCCATATAGCTATTTCAAGTGAAGTATATATATATATATATATATATATATTATATATATATAATATTATATAGTGTGTGTGTGTGTGTGTGGTGTGTGTGTGTGTGTGTGTGTGTGTGTGGTGTGTGTGTGTATGTGTATATATATATATATATATATATATATATATATATATATATATATATATATATATATTATATATATATATATATATATATATATATGCATATATATATATATATATATATATATATATATATATATGTGTGTGTGTGTGTGTGTGTGTGTGTGTGTGTGTGTGTGTGTGTGTTTGTGTGTGTGGTGTTGTGTGTGTTTGAACATTTATTACATATTCCGTAACAAAAAACATCACATATCTTCCTTCTCCTAAATTCAGAGTTTCGAGGACTTTGAGTAGCCACAATGTTCTCCCCTTCTTAAATATTAAACCAGTCTTTTAAGATGTAGTTGCTTGTTCAATAATCTTCAATGACACTTGCTTGGTTGTTCAGGACGTTCCTTCTATATATATTTCACACTAGAAAAGAGAGAGTGTGTGTGGTGTATGTGTAATTGATACAAGAGAATGACATTTTATGTTTTTAAGTATTACCGTTTTTTAAAACTTGAATATCGGCTTCAGATATGCTTAGTAAACAACCCCCTTAACGCTATATCTGACGACCTGTCAGAAATTTCTGACCTAATGTTCTCTGCAAATATTGATATTTAAGGGATCACTCCATGTGACTCGAGTGTACATAAACAACCCATGAAGCAATTTGGAAATTTGCCATTCATAAATTCCATACGGAAGCCGCGTAAAAACAATAAATTAGATGTGAAAACCTTAGATTTACATTCACAGATAATATGATAAGTATTTCACCTTAAAATATTGTGTTTTACATATGTAAAGTTTCCAGTTATACCATTTCTAACTGCTGTTTTATAATGAAAACGTCACATTTTAAATCAAAATTCACAAAATACTGGACACTGCACATATTGCCAGAAATTTCAGTTCATGCACTATAGGGGTGTACCAGTTGCAAATTTCAGAAAATGTATATATTATATATATATATATATATATATATATATACATATATATACATATATATATATATATATACATACACAAGTATGTGATATATATATATATATATATATATATATATATATATATATATATATATATATATATAGAGAGAGAGAGAGAGAGAGAGAGAGAGAGAGAGAGAGAGAGAGAGAGAGAGAGAGAGAGAGAGAGAGAGAGAGAGAGAGAGAGAGACTCACTTGTTTGTGTATATGAATGGGTAGACACTGATCGTGAACCATGGATAGTAGTAAAGTAAGGTGGTGAAAATAAATTAGGCTAGTTCATGAGTAGATTCAGGTTTACTGGATTGATATCTGTAAATAGCAGACTGTCAAAGTTATTGACAGACTGAAATGTTTCACATGGTAGAGGAACAAATTGATTCGATTATCATTATTAGCAGAAGTAGTAATGCATGTAATATTATCCTTCCATTAATACTAATATTATCATTATCCTCATGATAATCATTATTACCATTATCATTTTAGTTCTTATTAGTAATTCTACCATTATCATTATCTTTATTATCTCAATCATTATCATTATTATTACCATTATCATATTTATTATGATTATTATTACCATTATCATTTATTATTATTATTATTATTATTATTATCATTATTACTACACTACTATTATCGTCAAGGATCATCAATATTATCACTGTTCTTGTCACTGTTGTCACCATCATTGCTATTGGTTATATTGCCATTATTACGATAAAGCAAGCAACGACAACTTTAACTTTCCCCATTTTAGATATTTATTGGAAAGGAAGTCTTGCAAAATCATAGAGGCATCCTCTAAGTAATATCAAGAGAATCGGTTTCTCGATGAAGATATATAAGAGGATTTTACCAGTGTAGAAAAAACATAAATTTTGACAGTGAAAGCCAGTAAACGTAAAAAATGCCGGAACGAAGGAGTCTGAAATATATCCAAACTCTGCAACTCAACTGGACCTTTCAAAATAAAGAACTTCAGAGATAACTAAACGAGCTGATCTTTTATATATACTATTATAGTCTTTTCTTGCATGAAACTTATCATGATATGCACAGTGCTATCTGTTAAGCTGACGGGAGTTCCCAATGTATGGAGTATATTTCCTCGTTTCCGCCCTCCTTTGGGGTTTCCACGCAACAGCTGAGGGCATCTCGGGGACGGTGCACCAGGCCCGGGCATGGAGTGAAACAATTCATAGTTACATTTTTTGTTCCTTATTCCAACAAAAAAGACTACCTAATACAGGTTTGTTTGATCTTGATTAGGGAGAAGCTATCACTGCCTCATCGGGATCACATAGGTAGGTTCAACAACTACCTTCAGCATGAGGTCGTGGTTGTGTATACCCTCTCCTTACCTTCATGGCTGTTAGGCAGGTATGCTTTCAACTCTCAACTTCTCCTTGCGGGTACACTGTAGGGTAAATGTTCTTGAAACCCAATAAACAGGCCTATTATTGATCACTGTTCCGAAAGGTCATCACCCTGAATTTCCTCGAAGAAACTCACAGATGGATGAAAATACGCATCACGCATCTTTACAGACTTACTTTTTCTAATAAACAATGAAAAAATGCTAAAATTGGAAAGAAACAAGATCTTGGAATATGGAATACAAACAATTGAAAGATTGCTTGTTAAAAGTAAACGGTCTTTCTCTTTTGTGACTACCATCTTGGTCCCGTTAGGTTTTTTTTTCTCACTCTTTTCACAACATAGTCTGGAAGTAATTCCACTGAAACATATATTTGCCAATGACTTTTCCTTACACTTATTTTTAATACAAAAAACATTTGAAATATACATATATATACATCAACCCATATATCTAGCCGGTCATATATGTCTAAATTTGTAAAATATAAATTCAACTAAAATGACACATATATGACATACGATTAACCGTGGAATCAAATTCTTAAATACCTAGTAATACATGAAGTTTTGACATATTTACTTTTCACTTCATATTTCAGCAAACAATACATTAGTCTGTCTTGTCAACTCCGCTAGCACTGTTACCGTTTTCTCACGCACGCGACCATTTTCTAATTCAGGTTTTTAGAGTAGACGAATATAAACAACAAATCTGATGTTACATTGATCATGTTTAATTCCAAGAGCTAGGACGTGAAAAATATGGAGAGAAGAAAATACGTTAAAATTTGAATATAGAGTAAGAATGTTTTCCCGGGAATATTTTTTTGGTTACCGACCTGTGACTTTTGCCAAAGAAGCCCTGGTAAAAGTTTCCTACTTGACACCTATTGATGATAAGGAAAGTTCGTATTTACTTAATCTAATAATAGAAATAACAGATTACATAATGTTCGATTTTTATTTTTGTAATATAAGCATGATTCAAAATCGATCTTGGAAACAGGAACGCGATTTCGATCTGATGCAATGACGAATAGTTGAGTCAGTGCGGCCAAGGTCACGTGCCATGGAAAGTTTGCATCTGGGCACTAGCAGTTTGCAGCAATATCTTTCCTTTATTTCGATAGAGGTAACCAAACGAACTTCACTTCATTTAACATCCGTGTGTTCAGGGTTTCCCCAACTACACAGCAGTCCCTTTCCCTAAAGTGTCCGGGTCTTGTGAAAAAGAAAGTATCATTAGTTATAAGTGTTAGTATAGGTCAATGGAAGTTGCAGATCTGTCTTTTTTTTAATCAGTTATTGATAAAATATTCATAGATTTACCCAGATGATGAACTAGCACTGTCCGTCGGCATTATATGTAGCAATTGTTTCCGAGTTAGACGAGATCATCACAGGGCAGCAGGTATTAACAATTCCGGGATACGGATATAAATAGGAAACTTCTCAAGGACAATGCTTTATGGGGTACATGGACACACACACACACACACACACACACACACACACACACACACACACACACACACACA